CGCCAAAAGCATATGGAACCCTGGCCAGGGAATAAATAGGGTGGCTTCCCTGAAACCCAAATGGAGTTTGGAAACACAAGCCTCCCTGACTCTCCACCTGAGGTCACATTTGGCCGGGAGGAGGGGAGGGGAGCTCTGGTATCAGGCAGCAAGAGGGATCTAGGAGTTTGGGGTCTGGAGTTAGAGAAACCTGGGTTCGAATCTTGGCTCTTCTATCTTGAGTGTGGTGTGAACCAGGCCACTTTGCATCTCTGAACTTGGTTTCCTCCTCACCAAATGGGAAAAGAAGGAATTGTACCTGTCTCGTAAGATTGCTGTCAGAATGAAGCGAGATAATTCATGTCAGGCAGTTAAGTAGATATGCACTGAGATTACGTTAAGTGCACGGTACTAGCATCCTCGCGGCATTGGTAACAACGAGTAACGGTAGTGAACAGACTGGGGGAAATGAAAAACCACCTTTGGGCTTCTGTGCTGTCCTCGTGGGTCTCCTTGTGATGCCTCTTAGTCTTAGGCACACATCTGTGAGCTTCGAGAGAGCGCCTGAAGTTCTTGGCTGGCGGTGGGGGGGGGGGGCGGCGCTTCAGAATATGGAGTCCTTTCCCATTCAGGGCATGGGAGAAATCCTGGTATCGCGGGGCTGCTGTGTGAATGTGCATGTGTGTGTGCGTGTGTATGTGAGAGAGAGAGAGCATGCTAGTGTCTTGAGGTCCAAAAGGCCTGTTGACTGCGTGGTGGTTGTACCTGACCCATCCAATCCACTTTCCTTTGGGAGAAGGACTGTCACTCTTGACTTCTTCAGTTTTAAAGGACCATTTGCTGGGGCGCCTGGGTGGCTCAGTCAGTTAAGCATCCGACCTCAGCTCAGGTCATGATCTCGCCATCTGTGAGTTCGAGCCCCGTGTTGGGCTCTGTGCTGACAGCTCAGAGCCTGGAGCCTACTTCGGATTCTGTGTCTCCCTCTCTCTCTCTCTGCTCCTCCCCCACTGGCACTCTGTGTCTAAAAAAATAAATAAACATTAAAGAAAAAAATAAAGGACTGTTTGCCTTGAGTGATGAAGGAAGCTGCTTAAGTCCATCTTCAGAGCCCTCACAGGCAGTTTGTTTCTGACTTGGTTGTTCTTTTTTAAAAAATGTTTATTTTTGAGAGAGAGACAAAGCACAAGCAAGGGAGGGGCAGAGAGAGAGCCAGAGAGAGAATACCAAGCAGCATGCACACTGTCAGCACAGAGCCTGACACGGGGATCAAACCCACGAACCATGAGATCATGACCTGAGCCGAAGTCGGACCCTCAACTGACTGAGCCACCCAGGTGCCCTCCGACTTGGTTTCTCTTGACTTATACAGGGTTTCTGGCTTGTGTTTTAACAAGTCTGGTATTCAGAAACGGTATTATTACTGATGCTGGAGACTGGTGGTTTTCTTCATCTTCTTCTACCCCCACCTTTCTCTTTTTTGTTTTGCTTTAAAGTCACAAAATCCAATCTGTAAAATCAATCAAAGAAAGCCTGGAAGCCTGCCACTTCTGCCGTCCCCACCTCTTGCAGCAGCCTGGAAAACATTTCTTTTTTAAAAAAAATTGTAAAATATTTATTTATTTTTGAGAAAGAGAGAGACAGAGAGAGACAGAGTGCAAGCTGGGAAGGGGCAGAGAGAGAGGGAGACACAGAATCCGAAGCAGGCTCCAGGCTCTGAACTGTCAGCACAGGGCCTGGAGGCGGAGATCCAACTCACAAACTGTGAGATCATGACCTGAGCTAAAGTCGGATGCTTACCCAAGTGAGCCACCCAGGTGCCCCCACTTTGTTAAAAAAAATGTTAACGTTTATTTTTGAGAGAGAGAGAGAGAGAGAGAGAGAGATAGAAAGTCAGCTGGGGAGGGGCAGAGATTGAGAATCCAAAGTGCCCTGAAGACATGTCTAAGAAAGTGGCAGAACACAGTTGACAGAACACTGCGTTCGGCTCGCCACATTAACCAGCCTTTTTATACCTGGGCTGCTGTTTGGGGGAAAAGGATCGGACATAGCTGTGTAAATAAACAAGCACGTTACAAGAAACAGAGTGTCTCCTCCACTGCGGTAACAGGGCAGTTGCTTAGTATAACCCCTCTTTTTGACAGTTGCCTGAGCTGCGGTGGCTGAAGCTGTTGATTGGGACCGATTGGAGGCTTAGGGAGCACAGAGCTCATTGTGGAATGAAGTGGTGTTGCTAAAGCGCGTTGAGGGGGCATTTGGGGGAGTTTGAGGCAGTGGTCAGAACATTTCATTCGTGCAAGACGTGCCGCTTTCAATTTATTACGCGTGTGCGCCAACACCAGTGCCATTTTACACAGAGAGTCGCTTGTTGACATGCTCTCCCACATGGCAGGGCGTAACTTGACACATTTTTGCCCGCCTTTGCAACAGAGTCCAAGTGTGACCTGGACTTTTGTCTGTTTTTCCTCTCCAGGCTCCAGATGCACATGTTGAATGGAGCGCTTCTGGCCCTGCTGTTTCCTGTGGTAAATACCCGGCTGGTAAGTTGCCCCTTCTAGAAACACAGCAGCAATGTACAGAGTAGTCTTTGCTCGCTCTTTTACTATCCAGTGCTTGCCCCCATGCTTAGCTCAGTGTGCCCGTGTGAGTGTTAAAATATCTATATATTTAATATTGAGGTTTGACATAGCGCTATTTGGATGCAGCGGAGCTTGGTAGGTAAGGTTGGGAGTATTTGATGGAACTCTAGGCCTGCATTAAAAGTTTAGGATAGACTGAAAAAGCCTACAGGAACTCTTGGAGAGCATTGCTGGAGAGAAGGGGGGCTGGGAGACTCACTTTATTAGAGGTTTCCAGGTGTTCTAAGGGGCTCTCGTTTGGACTCAGCCACATTGGCCCAGAATAATCTGATGGGGAGCCTCAAGGCCTGTCCGCTGTGTCAAGAGGCCCCTTGGGAAAGAATTAGATACTTTCCTGCATTCACCCAAACCTGCAGGGCAGTCTGGGCCACCTCCCCCCCCCCCCCCCCCCCGCAGTGGTTAGCAAGTAGAATCCCGCTGTAGCGGGGGCGGGGAGGGGGTGGTTGATAAATGGGCATAGAGAGAAACAGGAGCTATAAGGCTGGGGTGGCAGGGCCCTGTCCTCAGACTCCCTCATGTGGGACTCTGGAGGGATTCGCCGCACATGTTAGAAAGCACAGGAAGACAAATCACCTGTAAAATCCTTGCTCCTGCTTTCTGTTTTCATGACTTACTTAAGTTTGCATCATGCATTAAGATCGCAGTGTAAATCTCACAATGCTAATCCTTCCTCTTTGGATAGCATTTTATAGATTACAGGGTCTTTTCAACATAACAGTTACGGGAGGTAGATAAGGGCAAGTATTATGGCCTCTTGTTACAGAGGAAGAAACTGACATTCATGGAGTCACACAAGTTCTAAGTGGCAGAGTTGGGAATGGAGAAGCCTCTAGATCCTATCAGCACAGCTAACCTTCACTCTCTCCAAGGATGTTTTCACACCCTCCTCACAAATACTCACGTATACCCTTACGATTGCTGTATGTTTCTAGGTGCATATTGTACATCAATAGAAATTAAAAGAAAAAGCATTCATCTAAAGCAGTGATCTTGAACCCAGGCTCAACGTTTTGCTCCAGGCTCACCCAGGGGTCCTTAAGCAAGCAAACAAACAAACAAATGATCAGCAGCAACAACAAAAACAAACAAAAACCATTGATGCCTTGGAGCATCTGAGTTCTTGATCTGTGACACAGCCTGGGTATAGTGTTTTTAAAAAGTGTTCCTAACGTGGTGCTGTGGTTGAGGACCACTGATTTTGTGCAGTAGCTCTGAAACTGAATGTCCACAGCAGTCAGCCTGAGGAAATGACTAAAAAATGAGGCTTGCCAGACCTCACCTTTGGCAGGTCTGATTACAAGGATCAGGGATGATGCCAGGAAACAAGCGTTTGTAATAAGCCCCCAAGGAATGTCGATTGCCGGGTCCTCCGACCACCCTTGGAGAATCAGCATCCTAGGTGATCGTAATTCCCAGTAACTCCAAACGCGGAAGTCCAAGTGTGGTCTGAGGACCAGCCTCATGTGGGTGCTCCCTCTTAGAAATGCAGAATTTTATTTAATTTATTATTTTATTTTTATTTTTTTCAATTTTTATTTTATTTTTTATTTAAATCCAAGTTAGTTAACGTATAGTGTAATAATGATTTCAGGAATAGGGTTTAGCAATTCGTCACTTTTTTATAACACCCAGTGCTCATCCCAACAAGTGCCGTCCTGAGGTCCCATCACCCATTTAGCCCATCCCCCCACCCAACACCCCTCCAGCAACCCTCAGTTTGTTCTCTGTATTTAGGAGTCTCTTATGGTTTATCTCCCTGGTTTTTTTACACGTATTTTAAAATTTATTTATTTATTTATTTATTTACATTTTTTGATGTTTATTTGTTTTTGAGAGACACAGAATACAAGCTGGGGAGGGGCAGAGAGAGGGAGACACAGGATCTGAAGCAGGCTCCAGACTCCGAGCTGTCAGCACTGAGCCCAGCATGGGGCTCAAACCCACAACCTGTCAGATCATGCCCTGAGCTGAAGTCGGATGCTTAACCCACTGAGCTACCCACGCGCCCCTGTTTTTATTTATTTTTGAGAGAGAGAGAGAGAGAGAGAGAGAGAGAGATACAGAGCATGAGTGGGGGAGGGGCAGAGAGAGAGGGAGACACACCATCCGAAACAGGCTCTAGGCTCTGAGCTGTCAGCACAGAGCCCGACATGGAGCTCGAACTCACGACCCATGATATCATGACCTGAGCTGAAGTCAGATACTTAACCAACTGAGCCACCCAGGCAGTGCTCCCTCTTTGTGTTTATTTTATTTTTGCTTCCTTTCTCCCATGTTCATCGGTTTTACTTCTTAAATTCCACATATGAGTGAAATCATATGGTATTTGTCTTTCTCTGACTGACTTATTTCGCTTAGCATAATACATTCTAATTCTATCCATGTTGTTGCAGATGGAAAGATTTCATGCTTTTTGGTGGCTGAGTAATATTCCTGTGTGTGTGTGTGTGTGTGTGTGTGTGTGTGTGTGTGTGTGTAGTACTGCTATAAACATTGGGGTAGAAATGCAGAATTTTAGGCCCCTACCTCAGACCTACTACATCGGAATCTACATTCCAATGCGTGGCTTACAGGGCCTCCCAGCTTTCTTCCACAGAGCCCAAAGCATCTCGTAGATAGACCAGAGGAGCTCCCGAAGGGGGAAGTGCCAGGGTGGGAGAAGGGCAGGCAGTATTGTGTCTGTCATGGTAGGCCGGGCACACACAGCTCAGTGTTCCCCTGTGAGCTGGGTTCAGCAGGCCCGGGCTGCTGTAGGTACCTTTGTTCTCCCTTCCGCATTCCCCACAATGTACGACTTGCCCGACTTCACCTGAGTCCTTCACCAGAACACCTGCCTTGGTCTCAGAGCTGTAGGGGCTCTGAAGAACGGTGCCCCAGAACGGTACAAAACAAACAAATTGTGCGCCCAGGGATGTGGAGCCGCGCTGCGGAGGCAGAGAAGTGGCTCTAGTGCTCTCTTATCCCATTTGTCCGCTCACCCTGTCACTGTTTTCTCAGATTGAGAGGTCAGGCAGATAAAAAGCTGCTTTCCTTCTTCCTTTTCAGCAGTTCTGGCAGATTCCAGGAAGGGGCAGTGCACCAGAAAATACCACCTCCACCCCAGGCTCACACAGTCAGTGATCCTGAGTTCGAGTGCTTCTGGCCCACAGCTCGGGCCAGTCTCTGCCATCCGTTGAGGTGCATATGGTTCCTCTACACAGGTTGCCTTCATCTCTCTTCCTAGTGGGACCTTTCCCACAAGGAAAGCCACATAGTCGTCTTGCAGGACCACTAAGCAGAAACAGACGTGATGATTCCCATTGTGCGAGCTTGAAAATAAAGGCCCCCAAGAGCCCATTCAGGTACCTGGAGTCAGAAAGGCGGTGGTGAAGTTTTCATTCAGCTGCTATTGTTATACCACAGCTGCATTCTTCACCAGGTCAGCTGACACTTCTGGAGCGCTTACTATGCGCCCAGTACTGTTCCAAGTGCTCTGCATGGGCTAACGTATTTGATCCTCACAATAAACTTCTGAGGCAAGGCACTGTTCATTATCCCCCAGATCAAGATGCCAGCGGCATTGGTCTTCTCTGAAGCCTCTCTCCTTGGCTTGCATATGGCCGCCATCTTGATGTCTTTTCACATGGTCTTTTCTCTGTGCACGCACATCCGTGGTGCCTCTCTGTGTGTCCAAATCTCCTCTTCCTGTAGGGACATCTTTCAGATTGGATTAGGGCCCTCCTAATGGCCTCCTTTTAACTTAATCACCACTTTATTGGAGGCATTTCCAAATATACTGACGTTCTGAGATAAGGCCTTGAACATCTGAATTTTGGTGGGGACACAATTCAGCCCATAACAGCTTTACTACTCTGTACAGAAAACACTATTTCTCTTTCATCCCCTCTTTTCCTCCTTTCCCTCCTTCCTTCTTTCTCTTTCTCTCTCTCCCCTTCTTCCCCTTTCTCATGGCAGATTTGCTATTACAGTTGTTACAGCACCTAATACTTTACAAATACATATCGGGCTATAGCCAACCAGCTCATCAAGAATGTTCAGGTAACTTTCCTTAACATTGAAGCTTCTTTGATGAGCTCTCTCTTAATGAGCGATTCTAATCACTCTGGTAAATAATCTTGGTGCTGCTCTTTTTCTAAAATGAAGCTGAGAAGAGCTCACAGTCGTGGCTTCATTTGCTTGTGTTTTTGCAACTGGCTTTGCCTTGGTTTTCTTAGATAGTTGGGACCCTTCCTGGGCTACTTCTGACCTTCAGGACTTTTTGCTTTGCGATCCCTTAGTTGAATACAGATTGAGTTAAAATAAGACGCAGGAAGATTGGCAACTCTTTAAGCCTGATAATCCGGTTAGGTAAGAACCCAGCTTTTGACTTCTGTTTCCGTCTTTCTTCTTTTTTATATAATCTTCAAAGTTTATTTATTTATTTATTTAGAGAGAGACAGAGACAGCGCAAGTGGGGGAGGGGTAGAGAGAGAGGGAAAGAGAATTCCAAGCAGGCTCCATGCTGCCAGTGCGGAATCCTAAGCAGGGCTCGGACCCACAAAGCTGTGAGATCATGACCTGAGCTAAGATCGAGTCAGACACTTAACTGACTGAGGCACCCCAAAAGGATTTCTTCTCCTTCTCCTCCTCCTCGCCACCCAGGCATCCCAAAAGGATATCTCCTTCTCCTTCTTTATTTTTTTTAGTAGGCTTCAGGCCCAATGTGGGGTTTGAACTCACGACCCCAAGACCAAGACTAACATGCTGCACTGAGCCAGCCAGGCACCCCTCTTTTGCTCTTTGTTCTTGACCCTTTACCATTTTAATCTTTGTTGTTGTTGTTGTTGTTGTTGTTGTTCATAAGCAGTAATCTAAAGGCAAGGAAAAGAAAATGAGTGAGTGTGTGTGCCAGTAACAGAGTC